ATGGTCTTTTATGTAAGCAGGTGGTTCCCAGAGTCCACCATTTCTTTTTCAGTGAGTATTGGATATCCCAGATTTCCTCTTATTATCAATCCATTGCCAGTCTGAGCCTGTTTTGGTTGTTCTTCTCGAGGTTGCTGCCCACCTTTCTGTTCACACTACTTCTTTTTTTTAAAAAGATTTTATTTTATTTTTTTCCTTTTTCTCCCCAAAGCCCCCCGGTACATAGTTGTATATTCTTCGTTGTGAATCCTTCTAGTTGTGGCATGTGGGATGGTGCCTCAGCATGGCTTGATGAGCAGTGCCATGTCCGCGCCCAGGATTCAAACCAACGAAACACTGGGCTGCCTGCAGCGGAGCGCGTGAACTTAACCACTCGGCCACGGGGCCAGCCCCTGTTCAGACTACTTCTGGCCTGAAGGACTGGGAGCTCACACCCTGGAGTGGGACAAGAAATGGATAGCTGGGATCAACAGACTAGCAAGGAGTCTGATGGTACAGGCTGGGAGCCCACTTATGCGATAAACACTTTTAAAAGCTAATCTAAATAACTCCAGGTGTTCAGGAGCTAGTTTCTCACTTTTTTGGTTTGCTTGTTTGGTGTGATCACCACCTTTGAGGATTACAGAGGACAAAGGGGGTCCCCTTCATACACACACTCCCACATCAGGGGACTGCCCTTAGAAAAACTTAGAGCAGTAGTTCCCAACCAGAGTGAGACACTGGAATCAGCTGTTCAGGGGAAGCAAACCTTCTCCCCAAAATCTCTACCCTCTTAGTGTCTTCAGCTGGGTCTGAGAAATGACCATAAGACAGATTAACAGGAGAAAAGCATTCAAATTTATTTAATATCAATTTTAAGTGACATGGGAGCTTTCATAAGGAAATGAAGACCCAAAGAAGTGGTAAAGCCTGAATGCTTTTACAATAGGTTAAACAAAGAGGTCCAATTGTGGAAAAGTAACTAAAATATATGGAGAAGCTAAAAGAAGATAAGGATTACTTTGACAAACTCAGTTTGTCCAGAATTCTCTCGGCCTCACCACCCTATCTCTGGTGATAAGAATGTTTCTTTCTTCCTGGTATAGGAGGGTGTCTTTCACGTGTGAATTTTCTCTCCTGTTTTCAGGAAGAAAAGAGGAAGGGGGTCAGAGTGCCCTTCTTGCACCTGCTGTTTTTCAAGTGCTTTTAGCTCAAAATAATCCTTAAGCCAAAATGGCATAGTTTGAAGTGGCGTATTCTCCACCCTTCAGTTGCAACACCCAAGCACCGATCCTCACAGATTCTGATTCTGGGGTGGGAGTCCATGCATCAGAACCCTTTAAAGGTCCCGGAGGTTGAGAACCCCTGGGTCAGAGTCACAGGAAGTATGGGAGTTCAGCATTGACTTCCTGTGCCCCATTTAGTAATTAGACTGAAATGAGTGTAACGGCTGAGAACTGATTTGCAACTGCTCGGGAATGTGTGAGCAACTGGGGAATCACACAGATGCCTCCCCAGGAAACAGATGCACGGTGTGTGCAGGGGCGTGTGTTTGGATACCAGTGTGGCAACAAGATCAGAGCCCTAAGGCACATCACGACACCTGGCAGGCATTCCACTTTACTCTTTTGGCAGGTTCCAAGAACTTGCCTCTCCTAACTGAAATAAGCCATCAGCTGATAGACCTGCAAGTGTTCAAAGTTGTACTCTGAATTCAGAGATGAGCTCGAGAAAGAAAAATAACCGAACCAGTTTGTTTTGAGATAGACACACTGGGAGGTAAATGATCCAGGCTGAAAGCCAGTCAGTCCAACCAGAGACTTGTTCGAAAGGTTTGGCAAACATGGGTGATTGCCCCAACTGCTCTGGCACTCGTGGGGTCTAAAATAGAATAACCGTGAGTCTGCAACTTGCTAGTCCTCCAAAGGTGGACTTTCAGAACTACCTTTTTGCCTCACTTCTATTTACAGATTAGGTAGGCAATGTTTACGCAACTGGTTTCCTTGATTTTGATACATCATTCAAAACCGATCCTCCTGGGAAAAGATTTCAAGGAGTGTGGGAATCCTTTTCCCCTCCAAGCCACAGAGTCCGGGTGTAGCATCTGCAACCAGCTCTCCTTAGGGATGTCAGCAGGTTGATATTTGTGTTTACAATTGGCACTGTCTGTCCTTGACTCTCAGGGGAAAAACCAAGGAAATGAATCTTCCCAGACACTAGCTTTCCTCTCTGATAAACATTGAAGAGAACAGCTTTTGAGTTCCTTTAGGGCTGGGATGGAGCCTTATTTACCGGTGTATCTCAAGGGCTTGGCAGAGTGCCTGGCTCAAAGAAGGCACCAGATAAATCTTTGTTAAATACATATTTGGCATTAAACACCCACGGATTTATTATGCATTTGGCTCCCAGCATTGGTGGCTCATCTACATCCTGAGAGCTGTCTGTTTGCATCAATATTTTCCTATTTGAACTGAGAACCACTAATTGGATTGTGTTGGTGGAATGGACTTTAAAGACCAGTATGGGACAGGCAGAGGCTTATCGGATGTCCTCAAGAGGGCATGATTTAATTGCTGCTCTTTAATTCTGGCTGTTGTGGGCACTTGGTGAATATTAATGAAGAATGAGGCAGGAGGTCTAGTGAGAGGCTGCTGGAGTCTGGGACATGCTTAAGGCTTTCACAGAGCTCTCTCGAGGGCACCCCGACTCTGACCTACTGGCAGAGAACCTGGTTGGCTTCATACTGCCCAAGCAGCCCCAGCAGCCCAGGCAACAGTCGAGGCAGGGTCTGCTCTGGGCAAAGCAGCTTTCAGGTACTGGAGAGGGCACAGGCGGCTCAGACACAGACACTGCGGGGACACAGAGCCTGGGCTCTGGAATCTTAGTGTGTGGCTTTCGGCTTTAAATGCCCTGAGCCTCAGATTCTTCACCTGTACAGTGATCAAAATAGCACCTACCCCATAATTTGTGAAAATTAAATGAAATGATGCAAGCAAGACAATTTAGCACAGGGTAGCGGTGCTAAATTTTAAGTATCCAGTACATTATGTGTGTTTATAAATATCCAATACATTACCTATGTGTTTATACAGATAAGATTCCAAGGGCGACTGAATTCTGTAATACAGTTTGGGACCAGTGAAGTGTTTTTAAAAAAAGTAACACATGGGCCAGCCGGTGGCACAGCGGTTAAGTGCGTACTTTCTGCTTTGGTGGCCCAGGGTTTGCCAGTTCGGATCCCAGGTGCGGACATGGCACCACTTGGCAAGCCATGCTGTGGCAGACATCCCACATAGAAGAAGATGGGCACGGACGTTAGCTCAGGGCCAGTCCTCCTCAGCAAAAAGAGGAGGACTGGCGGCAGATGTTAGCTCAGGGCTAATCTTCCTCAAAAAAAAAGTAATACAATCAGATCCACGGATGGTAGAGAGAAAGGAGGGAGGGGTGGGAGTGTAGCAGGGATGAATTTGAATGATGATAAAAAAAAGAAGTGGGAAAAGAGCTCATACTGTTCACTTTACAATTACGTTAAGAAACCTACCTTAAGAGTCTTTTCTGAAGTCAAAGTTTTGAATCCATTAAATACAGCCTGGCTATTATCTGGCCGGCTGACTAAGCCAGCTTTTTGAATTTTTAGTTAATGGATTACGCTTTCAGTAAGCTAGCAACTTACCATGTACCTCTTATTTTACTACAATATGATTAGCACCAGAAAGTCCCATGCTCAAAAATATCCCTTCTGCATTCTACCAAATTAATTTGATTAACAAACGTCTCTCTTAACATGCGGTAGCTTAAGCAGTTTTAAGAAAACTTAAGGTCCATGGCTAGAAGAACACAGGGGTGGGGGATGATGGTAGCGAAAAACTGAAGATTAAAAAAAGAATTATGTGGGACCTATAAAAAGTATATAGAGAGCCTATAACGAAAATGTTCACATGTTCATAGAAATTGGTGTTCTTTTCTAAAACCCTCACTTTGGGGTGTTTATCCATTTACATCACAGAAGTTGACCTCTTCCGCTTCGCTGCACTTCGCTGGCATAATCAACTGACCTGTATCTTTTCTCCCGCTCTTTACTTAAATTGGGCCAAAGGGGAAACTAGCCCCCAATCTCTCAGCAAACGTTTCGTGTGCACTTACACTGTGCGAGGCACTGTGGCTCTGCCGCTCGAGGGTGTGAGGGACGGGCGGACAGACAGACGTAGTCACAAGTGGTGACAACAGGCTATGATGGAGGGCCCTAACTGAAGGTAAGGACCCGTGGAGACACCCAAGAGGATCCGCGCGCGTCTCGGAAGCGCCTTCGCACGCGAGGTAACTTCTCAAGAGTTTCGAGGCCGGGGCGGGAGCCGAGGAGGGAGGCGCAGGGGAATCGAAGCTCGGCGAGCTGCGAGAAGTGCCGGTGACCGGGGGACGGGATGAGAGGGGCGTCGGCGCAGAGTGGGCGGGGCTGGGCCTCGGGAAGCAACTTTGTCTCTCCCATTCGTAAAAATGGGGTACGCGGCTCAATAGACGTCACTCGGGAACCGAATGCCCCTTCAGGGATTCCCCCGGGGGGGACACCGGCTCCCAGGGCCGCGGGCCCGGGCTGGAGCCCCAGGAGGGGCGGCCGCCCCTTCCTAGGCGCCGGGCGCGCGCGGGCAGAGCGGCTCTGGAGTCGAGGGGCTGCGTGCGCAGCCTGGCGGACGGCGGAGCGCGCGGCGTCCCGGGCCCCGGCAGCGGCGGGGGCGCCTCCCGGAGGAACGCCGGGTCGGCGAGAGGTCGGCGGGGGGCCAGCAGAGGGCCGCCGCGCTCGTTCCCGACATGCTCCTCTCGGGAGCATTTCAAACCCTCGCCACCACCCCCTCCCGCCCCGCCCCGCCCCGCCCCCCCCCCCCCCCCCCCCCCCCCCCCCCCCCCCCCGCCCCGCCCCGCCCCGCCGGCCCAGCAACAGGCGGCGGCCCGCGCGTCATTGGCCGGGCGCCGCGTCGGCGCGCTCTGATTGGCTGTGGCGCCTCCCGGCCCCGCTGCTGCGTTCGCCGCCGCCTCCATTTTGTCGGTAGAGGCCGAAGGAGGAGGTCGGGTCGGGACGGTGAGGTGGCTAGCAGCTAGCTCGTCGGCGCTCGTGGGCCTTGTTCGTTCCGTGCCTCATCGCTCCCTGGGAGGGGAGGGGGGCTTCGCCGCCTAGAGGAGCCGCCGCGCCCGGGGCCCGAGCGTGAAGTCGGTGAGTGGCGGCGGCGCCGCGGGCGCGGCCATGTTGGCGGTCGCGCTCCCCATTGTTGGGGAAGGAGGCGAGCTGGGGGGCGAGCGGGCGCCGGGGCCCGAGGGGAGGGCCCCTCGGGAGCCGGCCCCGTCGGAAGAAGCCACTTCCGGGCTCGCGTGCGGCGTGAGTCGAGGTCCAGGGCTGGTGAGATGGCCCTCTGGCCCTTTCGGAGAGAGGGCGGCTCGTTTGGTAACTTGGCTTCTCGGCGTATCAGATGGAAAGCAAGTCTTGAGCGTTCCCCGTAGGCAGGCATCTTTACATACTCGAGGGGGAAAACTGGCTTAGGTGGTTCCGGCTCGTGAAAACTCATCTTGCAGCGGGGAGGAGTCGCGAGTGTTGGGAACTGAAGGAAACACTTCGCGTGACGTAGACACGTTGGGAGAGGCTTTGCGAAAACGATAGGTGATGTGTCGAATGGTTGAAGAATTCTGGAGAGACTGTAAAAACACGGTCTCTTTGGAAAACTAATTCTAAGCCAGTTTCTTGGCAATGGCTGTAAAGGTGGTTGCTGCCCTGGATTGACTTTTAACATTTTGGCCACAAAACCCGTGTGAGCATCTGAAAGGTCCCCAGGAAGAAGATAGAAGCAACTTGTTGCGGGACTTGGAGACACTGTCCCCAAAGTCCCCAGGAGTTCCTGGATCTCGAGGCTGAGCAGAGTTCTTAAATGATGACAGCTAAAAGGTCAAAGAAAGCCATCTCAGAGACAGCTTATTTTCTGCCTTTTAGTTCAGGAAGTAGCCATTTTAACTATTTCTGTAGTGAATATAAATGACCACTTTCTCCCATGTTTTTGAGTTGAAATAATGAAGTAATCTCTACTTTTCTAGCTAGGACTTCTCTCAAACTTGTGTGCTGAGGAGACTCAGATGTTGGCCTCAGCGCCTAGGCTGAACTCGGCAGATCGGCCCATGAAAACTTCTGCATTGAGACAAAGGAGAGGATCTGTCAGAAAGCAACATCTGTTATCCTGGGCTTGGCAGCAAGGAAGGGGACACGTAGTGGAAATCCTGCGCTCTGAAAAGCAGACTGAAAGGTATGAAGACGTCCACGTTGTAATGGGGCAAACTTGTGATGATGGATTCGTCCTAAACCAACTGTTTGTATTTTCAAATAGAGGATTTTTCAGATTTTTGGGGAAGCTCATTTTTCTTAGGAAGTGATAAAGGCTGTGCACTAATGAGGTGTCAACATATAGTTAGAAGTAAGGTCTACTGAAGTTTCTTAAAGGTTTGAACTTTTCTTATTGGAAGTTTATTCAGTATTTGTTTCCATTCACTTACAGGTGACAAAGAAGCTGAAGATGGGTGGCGGAGAGAGGTATAACATTCCAGCCCCTCAATCTAGAAATGTTAGTAAGAACCAACAACAGCTTAATAGACAGAAGACCAAGGATCAGAATTCCCAGATGAAGATTGTTCATAAGAAAAAAGAAAGAGGACATACTTATAACTCATCAGCAGCTGCATGGCAGGCCATGCAAAATGGGGGAAAGAACAAAAATTTTCCAAATAATCACTCTAGCTTATCAGGTCCCAGCTTGCTTTTTAAGTCTCAAACTAATCAGAACTATGCTGGAGCCAAATTTAGTGAGCCGCCATCCCCAAGTGTTCTTCCTAAACCACCAAGCCACTGGGTTCCTGTTTCTTTTAATCCTTCTGATAAGGAAATAATGACATTTCAACTTAAAACCTTACTTAAAGTACAGGTATAAAATAAAGTGCTAATGTTTAAATTTAGTTACATTTAAGGGTAGTTGTCAGTTGTTTCAGACCAGATTCACTAGGGAATTAATCTGTTTGTGTAAAACTGCTAATTAACATAGAAAAATATAATTAGACTTCATCTCGTTGTGTTGTGTGCACTGTGATCTAATGGTAGCATCAGTGCAACTTAAAATATCTGAATTATTGATAATTGTACTTGATATTTTGATATTAAGTATTTTCAATTTGAAACTCAAGTGAAACCATTCAAATTTAGATTTGGGGAATGATAAAGGAATCGACTTTTTCTACTGCTTGTTGGGGGAAAATACTAATTTAAGATTACCATTCGTGGACCACTAGATTATTTGTTGAAAGCTAGTCAGTCTGATTATAAGCATCTAGTTAAGACACAGGGATTGAAAACTAGTTGAGTATTTGAAAGTTTAATGTCCTAGAAATACCCAAACCAGTACCATGCCAACAATCTGATGCACTGCTAAGAGAAAATGTGAATTTTTCTTAGTTACATTTTAGTAAACTGTACCGTGGTGAATGTGGAAAGGGCACTAGGGGCTATTTAGATGAGACAGTATACCCCAGTGGCCCTGTTTCTTACATACAGTGGGGTATGTGTTTGCCAACAAATGCGCCAAAACCATTTTTATAGAAAGAATATTTGGCGGTCACTGAGTAGCTCTGAAAATACATTTTTGTATTACAGCACCGCACAAGCTATTCTGACAGTGATCTGGCCGCAAATCATCCCTGCGAAGCTCGCTTAAAGCAGGGAGCTGTATAATGTGAAAGTTTAAAGTACCTAGGAAAGAGCCATGTAAATACATGTAATAAACTTGTAGCATATGTAAAGTTTTGTTGGCATTTATTCTACAAAAATAGAATATTTTAGTATGAATTCGCTGAATGTAAGACCATTGACTTTTTTATACTATGGCCTAATTTTAAAGGTCCAAAATAATCTGTTTTTAAAGTTTGCCCATGTGCTAAAGTGCCAGTGATATGTATAATTGATTTGGTTGTAAACTATATTACAAAGTAAATCCTAGTGTAATAAGTTTTATATAACTGAAAGGTTTTAAGCTGCTAAAACACTTCCTATTTTTAAGAGATGTGAAATGCAGTATGGGACTATTTTTTATTCCTTAAACCCAAAGATTAACTATTAAAGGGTCCTTTCAAAGATTCATTTTGGCTGTCAACAATTTTTGTAACCTATGATACAAGTATAGTGCACAATGCCAGTGTATTTTTGTCACCAGTAAGTGTAACCCATGGGGCCACTTATACACATGATGTCATTTCTTCCTTGCTACCTTGATAATGTTTTACCTACCTTAAAGGTAAATGCTAAGTGTAACAGTGAACAACCCAGTAGTAAAAGAATGTGTGTGTGGGATCAGTTAAAAATTTGATCGTTTCTAATTTGGCAGCGTTTTTTTGTTATTTTTATGCAGAATGGCTAATAAGCTGTATTTCTCCAAATAAATTCAGATGAGATAATATTGCCCAAGTCAAACAATATCCTAAAGACAAGTTTATATAGTACTTAACGTACATATACGAATTTGAAGCATGAAATTAAATAAAATTGCTTTTCTCCCCAGTGGCTTGTTTTTATTTTATAAAAAATTATGACTGCCTGACATTTATTCTTAAAATGTACATAATTAACCCAATTGAAATACAATGGGAGTGTTGGTTTTTGCGGGGTTTTTTGAGGAGGCCAACTCGCCCTGAGCTAACATCTATCTGTGCCAGTCTTCCTCTGTCTTCTATGTGGGTCGCTGCCACAGCATGGCTGCTGACGAGTGGTGTAAGTCTGCGCCCAGGAACAGAACCTGGGCCACCAAAGCAGAGCGCACTAAACTTAACCACTCGGCCACGGCACAGGCCTCCAGGATTGTTGGTTTTAAGAGACAACCGATGTGACTGACTGATGAAGACATCTGGAGTAGTTCAACAGTTAAAGAGTTAAAAAAGCAACCTGCTCCCAGCAGGGCTAACAGTAAAAGGCCACAGGATACTTCGGAAACTTCATAAAGCTGCCGAGTCCACCTGATAGTTTAATTACCTCTTCCCTTTCCTACATTCTAAAATGTATATTTAGGTTTATAGAAAAAAAATTGGCACAAAAGAATTCCTCAAACTGGTAAGAACCCTTGTGTTTAAATATTTGTTAATATATAAAGTAGTTTTTACAAGGGGACCTTGGGAGAAAAAGGCATCACAAAAACCATATTTGCTTTCTAATAGGTTCCAAGTGATAGACTGAACTAGCTGAAGCTAGTTCAAGAATAATCCTTTTTAAAGTTCTACACTAGCAGTGAATCCCAGGACAAGGACCTTTTTTCATGCAAACTGTAGGAAATAACCGATTTGGAGGAAAACAACATTTGAGTCTTAAGGCTTTTCCTGTTCTATCCCCAGTGTAATTTCTATGAACAATGCTAGGGACTGCCAAATTCTCATTTGTACTGGCACTGGAAGTTCTCAGCCCAGGTGTCTTTGTGGTAGTTTTTGGTCTGGGATTGACTTAAGTGGTAAAAGCATTCAGAGAACTGAGGGTGGGAGTAGAAAAGGCTTTTAAACAATAAAAATTTTACTAGCTAAGGGTAACCTAAATAAACAGTTAATCCTATCAACATCTCATCTCTCAGAAAGGTACTAAGACAACTGTTGGCCTACAGGAAGTATGGTGACAGGATTTTCCCAAATCATTGCACTGTAAGAACCAAAAAGTTGTTACAGAGAACCTATTCTGTAGGGCTGGTCAGCTATACTGTGACCCTTCAGTCAGTGTTGTAGTTTAAATTTGTCATACGTTTTTGACAGCAGTATATAGTATGATGGAATCTGAATCCATAACCTATCCTGACACCTAAGTTCTCTTCCCAAAAGCAAGAAGGTGGAAAAAAACTGGCTTTCGGGTAAGTTTTCTTGTGTTTCTCTAATTGCGTTCTCATAGGCAATTACTTTGTAAAACAAGCAGGACAGGGTGTATCTCTAAAACCTCTTACACAAATGAGGAAAGCCTACCTGGTCACAAATCTAAGGCAGAGCTAAACCTAAAAAAGAAAATCCCCAAGATTTTTTTTTGGCTCCTCAATCAGTTTATTTCACCCTCCAGCATTCAAAAAGATGTGATCTACAACAAAAAACTAGACACAAAGGCCTTTTACCTCTTTACAAAAAACTACTCTTGTCAATTATTAATGAAATGAATTTACATGCCTTGCTTTTTATTCCAAATAAAAAAGAATGCCATCTTAATATGAGGGTGAAACAACTGTTAGGCATACACAGAAACATAATGGAATAAACACTGTTGGAGAGGGCAGAGGAAAAAACCCAAGAGAAGGAGCCTTCCATAGTGACTGCTATGTCTTGTAGATGTCAAGAGGTGAACAAAGACAAGTTGCTTGCTTCATTTATCAATGAAAACACTTTACTCCTTGGATTCCTAAAAGTTTTGAGAGACCTCTTAGTAGAAGGCCATTAGTTTACTCCTGAGCTACCACTGTGCTGTCTGAAGTCATGGCCTCTCCATTTCAAAATATCTCAGGATTTTGTAAACAGGTATGGTTAAAATGCAATACAATGACACTGAAGTGCGGAAAGCCAGGATGGAAAGAGAGTCACAGAGCTGTGAGATCTTAGGTTACATTTGACTGCTCTTTTCCATCCAGAAAAGTTAAAGAATACTTTTTGTAATTAAACTATTTTATAAATCTTAAATCTTCCTTCTAAGTGAATTCTAGATTCCATTATATTAATTTTATGAAGCTATAAAAATTCCCCATTTGATTAAAAAAAAAAAAGCAGGGGTAGGCCCCTGTGGCCGAGTGGTTAAGTTCACACACTCCACTTTGGCAGCCCAGGGTCTCGCCAGTTCACATCCTGGGTGTGGACCTAGCACCGCTCATCAAGCCACACTGAGGTGGTGTCCCACACAGAACGAGAAGGACCTACAACTAGAATATACAACTATGTACTGGGGGACTTTGGGGAGAAGAAGAAGAAGAAGAAGAAAAGACTGGCAACAGATGTGAGCTCAGGGCCAATCTTTGGGAGGGGGAGGGAAGCAAAGCAAAATGGTTACAAATATGAACCAAATGAAAAACCCTGGACTCGAATCTAGGCTCTGCCATATACAACAATGCTGTGTGATCTTGGGCAAGTTTGAAATTTTTTTTTTTGGGTGAGGAAGATCATCCCTGAGCTAACATCTGCACCAATCTTCCTCTATTTTGTATGTGGGATGCTGCCACAGCATGGCTTGATAAGCAGTGCAAAGGTCCATGCCTGGGAACTGAACCTGTGAACCCCAGGCCACCAAAGTGGAGTGTGTGAACTTAACCATTATACCACCAGGCTGGCCCCTGAAATTTTTTTAAAATAAAATGAGGGTAAAAACACCTCCATTTCATGTCTTGCGTAGTTATGTGTATTCCGTATTTTCAAAATCCTTATAAAGGGTTAAACACTTCCATATTTTTAGATGAGTAACTTTACATGAAATGTTTTAAAAATGTGGCAGAAATATGACAAAAGTCAAATATGTAAATGATGGAATCAATGTATAAACAAACTTCATATCCTAATAAGGAACTAAGGAATCCAAAACATTTTGTGATGCTATAAAAGTTATTTATTCACTATACACAGAACATGTCCCTATAAAATGTACATGTAAATCACTAAAAAGTATAACTTGGTGAACATTTTCTCAATTACAGAACACACTAAATCAACTGGGATAACAGCTATCTGCCTCAAAATAGTCTAATTATAGCACCCAGAGTCTCCTTTATATCTAACGCAAAGTTAAATACTTATTTTGGGGATTATTTCCTAATATGTGTTTGAGGAGGCAGAGTTAACAATTTAATATAACTCTAGTATATTACAGCCACTGCACAATAAATCAGTTTATTACAGATTAAAACAAATCATTTTTTCATTATTTGTATTAACGGGATGCAAACAGAAATACTGGATACTTTTAAATGGCAGATAACCACAAAATTACTTATCTTTGATAGTATATTGGGTTTTATAATTACATTAGGATATGAATGGTGTAAAATATTGTTACGAATAATACACCTCAAACAAAACAATGAGGCCATACTGTAATGATTCACTGGATTGTGCTCAGTAGACATTTATTGAATAAGTGAATTTTATCTATTTTTCTCCCCAATCACCCAGTACATTTTTTTGCCCACACTAAGGGCTCAGTAAATGTTTGCTGAATATACTGACTAGGAAAGAGGTGAGACGAAATGGACCCTCTTAGCTGGCTGTCAAATATTATAATTGGAATTTACCTGGGAAAGAGTGTTTAAGGAAGATGTAAACTGCACATGGCACACAAGTAAATAAACTCAGATGCCAACAAAGCAAACCGTTAAGCAGAAAACACTGGCACTGGAATAAACAAAGGCAAGATTTGCCAATAGCGAAAATGCAACTGACTTTAAGAGAGAACCAAGAAAAAGTTTATAGTGGACCATACCTTTTCTCACCCAATTCCATTTGAGACAGACCAATACAGGCACTGTAAGAGACTATGGCTGTCTTCCTTGATATTCAGACATCCTAGTTTTCAATAATTTATTATGGACCTGTTACCCAAGAATCAATATAAACCTATTCAGATTTAGGGATTAGTTTCCACAAGTACAAAGTTGAATTTCCTTTTATTTGTCCTAAAATGCTTACTTTCAAACTTGAAGGGACTTCAATTATTCCATGTAGTTTCGATAACATTCTTTTATCTTTTCAGACCAGAGTCAAAATATTCGTACAGTATTCATACTGCAGCACCTTCCACCCACCCTTTGGTCGCTTGAACTGCCCTTCTTTGGTTCTTTATCCGCTTTCTCAGATCTTTCTTGAAGTGTAGTAAGCAGAACTGTACTGGGTATTCCAGCTGCAGTTTGGTCTTAAATAAAAGAAGGATGTTTGTCAGTTTGGTTTTCTTTATTCTTCTCTGTGGTATACAGGATTTTGTTAGTTGAACTGGATGTAGCAGCTTACTGGGCCAAATTTTCAAGAGAATAGCACAATAGTTCCCAGGTCTTTTTCCCTGGGTTGTAACTTAATGGCTCATACTCTATGTAGCACCTTTCCTTTCTCACTGAAGCATTATCTGTCATTTTTCTTCTTGCTTATTTGGCTTAAAAAAAAAATGTAGAGAGATCTTAAGTAAAAAGAGAGGTGAAGTGTTAGCCCTCAGATGAGTCTTGACATGATATACTCGAACACTGAGCACAGTGCCAGACACAGTAGGTGCTCAGTAACTGCTGAACTCAACTATGTAACCCCAAATTAAAGCACTGTGTAAGGATCCTCATGAAGTATCAGCAGGATCCTAACTATCATGGGTTCAACTATAATATAGTCCTTTTTACGCTCTGCTAGGTATGTCACTTTAGAAATAACACGTAAGGTTCTCAAGAAAATAGTCTGAGTCTAAAAATAAGTGACAGAAGTAAAAAAATAAAAATGAAACTATCAGGCCTTCTAGCTCTATACAGACTGATAACAATTTCAATGGGCTATCTCCTTAATCTACTCCTCTTCAATTATAGTCCATTAAAAAAAAAAAAATCTAAGGATCAGGCCTGGGTTCAAATCCTGGATCTGCCTTTTAAAGCCTTTTCTTTGCGCCTTAAATTCCTTATCTGCGATATGGGGAAAATAAAAGTATTTTTCTCATAGGGTTTTGTGAAGAGTAAATGAATTAACACACAAAGCTTTTAGAACAGTGTCTGGCACATCATAAATACTCAATAAATATTAGCTCTAATTGTTGTCATTATGAAGGAGCTAGAGTTCAAACCACAAAACCAGTTCCCCAAAGTGATTATCACTTATATTAACTGCTCACCAACATTCAATGCAGAAGTATTTTAAATCATGCCATAAACACAAGGCCCAATGCATCTTGTTTAGGATGGGGAAGAGCAGAATTATCGGTCCATCCAATAATGAAAACATAAATTTAAATTAGCTGATCCAAATTTCATTTTAATACATATCTCAACACTACCAATAACCTCTAAGTTATTTAACCCAAGGGGCTTAATAACTATCAATAACCTCTAAGTTATTTAACCCAAGGGGCTTTGACATTACACAAGGAATCTTTAAGTACAATGTAAAAGATGTACCTTTCTGGCAAGTTTTATCACTTCCAAAGTAAAAGTTAGTTGTGCCTAGTGCAACACTGATTAAAAATATTCCTAAATCTACAAAGGATTGTTTCCATTGTTACTTTAGAATCTCATTCAAAACTATAATAATTCCAGTTAATCATTATTTCCTTCATTTTGTTTTTATTATAGCATGTTTGCTTAATTTACAGCAAGCAGAAAATAAGCTGGGTCTTGTTTTGATCCAAACATTGATGTTTTAAAGGTTGTACACAATATTTGTTAAAAAGAACATATAAAAATACCTTTTTAGAAGCTTCTATAAGAAAGAAAATACAAAGTTTAACCCCACAACTTTCCTCTTTGCTAGAACTGCAAACTACTGCTACAGTTTTAAATAGACTTTTTGTTGTTTAAACTATACATCCAGGAAAATCTAAAAAAATTAAAGAAACGTGCATATAAATGATTGCATAGCAGAACATGAACATTAACTGCAAACAGTAAAGAAATGAAAGTTAGAAATACTATCAAATATACAAAGGTTCTAGAATCAATTCTTTAAACACATTCCACAAACAGTATTTAAAAACCATCTTTTGTTCTTTACAGGCAAGGCCTAGATTACTAAAACAAAAACTGAAAGAAGTAATCCTTTAAAAGGAATCGTTTCCCCACAATATTTCTTACTCGTAACCTGGAAGCAAGCAATCTAAAATTTTTAAAGATGCTAGCTTTTATTCTGAAATGAGACTGGACACGTCGGGTCATTTTTATTGCCCCCAAAACAATCTCTCTGAGAAATGCTAGAAATTATAAATGGTTAAGGGTTATTATTTTCTCATTTTTAGTCAGGTACCTGCTAGGTACTAGATTGATAATAAATCAAAAAAAACCTCAGATGTAACTTATTTATAATCAACTTTTTTCAAAGTTATTTTAAATTTCATGGCACCACAAAACCACCTAGAATGGGAGTGTTGTCTTTCAACTCGCCTCACGTTAACTGAACGGACGGTGAAGAACAAGCCTCCTTCGGAAAGAGGCAGGCCAATTTTGATACAAACGCACATACCGAGTGCTATAAGCATCAAAATTCGGTTCTTTTACACTACTACAACACACGAACAAAAACAAAACCTACTTTGAAACAATTTACTTGCTTTTAACAGCAGTAAGAAAACTAAGCAATATTAGGGTCAACAATGCTCCTTAAAGTTTAGAGTAACTACATAAGAACATTCTTTCCCCCTTAAAATTGTTTTGCCATCATTGACCTGCTCAAATTTTAAGGTGAGTTTTTCTGATGTTTGTATGTTCCAAATCTTCATAGAATCCAGAAAAAAAAAAAAAAGCAGTGAAGGCTCCATGTTTCAGTCAAAAACTCCATCTCCCTGAAAAAGCTACTTAACCCAGTTGGCATCACGCCCCAAGACAGTGGGGTTAACAAAAGAACTATCCACACCGTGTCATAAATTAACTATATCACGGGCCTAGACATTTTGACAAGACAAAAAGGTCCACCCTGAACCTAAATGTGTCTGATCAGTGTTGTACTGTGGCTACAACTTCACTTTGTATCATTCTATCTTATTAGCAAGCTACATTTCTAGGTTAACAGTTCTACCAAATATGGATATGAAAGTTTATTTTTAGTAAGACAATGTTGCAAATTATGGTCAACCAACATCTTTTCACCAATACTTCAAGCATAAAAAATGAGAATCTTTACAAAAATATACAGAGACACCACAAATTGGTAGCTGCCCATAACATTAAACAAACTGGACTCTTAAGAGTGGCTTCTCAACAGCATATCATTTTAATTATAACCATTGCCTGGTACAGGGAAAACTGACAAGTGTTTTTTAAGCATCATTGCAACATTGTATTCCTGATAATTTAAGTAAACCAAACTATGAGTAAATGAATGATACATGCCTAAAAATATCACGGTTTATCTATCAGTGGCCACTGGACTTAGGACTAGTCCAAGACCTTGATCTAGACTTTGACCTAGACCTAGACTGTGATCTTGACTGAGATTTGGATCTAGGTGGTTCTTTTTTCCTTGATTCCTTTTCATATCTTGAGCCAGACTTATAATGTGTTTTGGAATCTGTTTTAGAGGTGCCTCTAGCTTTGGTGTGAGATGCAGACCTAGAACGTGACTTAGCCTTCATTTCTTTCTTGGGCTGGGACTTGGACCGTGATCTTGAATTGGATTTAGATCTTGAAAAAGATCGATTTCGGTGTTTGAATCTTTCAAAACAGAGGAGAGATACAATTAGAGTAAAAATTAGATTTTATATTAATCAAATTTGTTATTTTTAGAGCAAAAGTTCACTCTGAAATTGAAAAATGTATAAGTCTTTTTCAAAGCAAAGTTATTTACCTATCATTGTCGGAATGGCTTCTGCTACGCCGTGGTCTTCCAGTCGGTCTACTGCTAAAAAGTACATCAGAAAAAGCAAACAGTGACAAACGTCTATTTACAGAGTCTTTAAAAAAGTTTCTAATTTAGTGAAGCATAAAACTTTTTAAATGAAGCACTAAAATATCTTTAGTCTCAATGAGCATACAATGTATATAATTAAAAGTATACAAAAAAGTAAAAAAAACGGGAAAAAAAAAACAAGAAAAAAAAACTAGGAAAAAAAAAGCTAATCAACACAAATTTTTCCTGACAGATCACGGTGCTACACGTCACACTTACTTTCTAGGACTATAAGATCTTCTGTAGTTGTAATCAAAGGACCGACTTCTTGATCTCCTTCTTTCATAACTTCGGCTTCTAGAACGTCTGTATCTGTCATAATCATCATAGCGTGAAGAACTGTACACATTCCTTCCTTCCTTGGCTTTCATCTGATTTGGAGCTATGAAATAACACAGAACAGAAATATTTAGAAACATTAAATACTTATGTATTTAAGTCTTCAAATTATAGGAAAAATTACTGCATCCTCTCCCCTTATACCCTCAATCTGTATAAAGATTAATTGTGAATATTAATCATGACAAAGTATTTGTTTGTCTTCAAGGAAGTCTTACCAGAAGACTGTTTTATGTTAAAAATGATACTTTCAAATACCTTCCCAACTATTTTTTCCCCCAAAGACATCTATCTAGCTTGCTGTTCAAAAACAAGCCAACTACTTTGGCATTAGGAAAATGTACCATTAAAGTATTTTTTTAAAATTCCAAACTAAAATATGAATGGCTTTTGAACCATATCCTATTTTGGAGTTATCCTGCCATGGTTTCCATTCATTAGGAACACAATTACCAAGGATAAAATACTCACTGGTGACCTATGAACAATGTGTAGGGTCAAAATGCAATAATATATACACAGTTCTAAGAGACTAAGACTGCTACACTAGCCACTTGTGGAGACTGAATGCCTCAGACACACCCACACCCCTGGACAGTCCTCAATTGTTATGTCATGTCATTCAATTCTATGAAGCAGATACTTTATGTATGTGTGCATGTATGTATAAATAACATAGCAAATACCCAGGAAAACATCACCCAACCTGAGAAACAGAAAATTACTAATAGCTTGTGTCTACCTAAGTGCTCTTCAGGAGCTATTTTAACTTCTTTTAGTATTTTGCCCAAGGTAACATAACAATTGAGCCAGAATTCAAACCCAGGTCTATTTGACTCCAAAGCCTGTATTCTTGCCTCAATAGCATGCAGCTAACACCTGGTGTATGACTGCATACCATTAAAAAACAAGTGCTAATATAAAATCTGTTCAAGGTTTAATTTATATAGGCGTTCCCAATCTAATTCTACTTGTTCATTTCCATAGCCTTGCATCCACATTAAGTACCCAATTCTACCTTGAAGATCTTTATGAGGAAAAGAAATGGCACGAGAGACCCAAAACTTTCCAAATTTTATCCCTTTCAATTCCACCCCCAGGATACTAAACATGCCATGGCTGACAGTACTGATCCACTTTCTTAACAGTCCAAACATATTTCAGGCATTCTGATCTCCACTTTCTACCTTATGTCTACCCTGAAACTTTGTAATACATCTAAAAAATATGATGAAGCAACGAATTCAAGATACTCTGTCTTCTCAAAAACTCTTTTTGGGTTTTGAACAGAGACAAATCGCAGAAATTCTTTCAAGAAATCTCAAAATGCTAAAAAGTGATATAATAGGCATAACGGTACTCACTCTTCCGATCACCCTGTGCAAACTGTATTTCAATCTGGCGTCCGCAAATCCATTTTCTGTCCAAATTATGTAAAGCATCTTCAGCATCACGAACATCCTCAAATGTGCTAAATGTTAAGGGGCTTGGGAAGTTTGCAAACTTTGATAATGAATGAAAGTTCAGTTGGCAAGCCTGGAACGATTCACAATCTCTCGATATTATTCTAGAAAATCAACCAGACCCCACTTTTACTAGTTGGTTGATTCAGCTATAAACACTTCAGAGTATTAAAGCACTTGAAAGATTTCCTAAGGCATATGTTTGAAAACACGTGAATACATACCATAAAGTTATTATTGAAATAAGATCTGTTATAGCTGAACTACCAAGTAATTCTATCAAATTTTTTCCCCTGTGTTTTAAGAATTAACTTTAGAAAACAAGACAAGAGAGAAACAAATGTCACGTCTATGTTGTATGCTAAAACAAAAATTTCTTAAAATAAAACCAAAAGTGTTTTTCGGATTTTTTGTTTCAAATGAAAAAAGGAAAATGCCAATAGTTCTTGTGTAAGCAAGCAGAATATACCTTACCTTAAAAGAGATGAAAGCATTAACCTCAAATTTATTTTGCTATTTTTCTCAAATTTATCTACCGCTATTATTTCATGTAGTTGTCTTCCTCATACCACGCAGGGAAGACTGCTGCACTAGCCACTTGTGGAGATGAAGACAGAATCAAATAATAATCAAGACATCACTATATCAAAAGATACTACACTCATGCACAGACTACAAAAGCATACTACCAAGAAATAACAGGACTGGAAAAATTCCTGGACTGGAAAGCCCTAACCAAGATACTAAACATAAGAGTTTCCTGTAAAGAAATAGGGTTGGGACTGGTTTTCAGCTTGAGAATTTCAAGATAATATTTACCAGCCTGAAGCAGGAACTGCTGATCTAAGAGGCTAAATTGCCTTCTCTTCCTCCCTCAATGTCAGCAATACCACCACCAAGAACTCTCGGCTTTACAAAGTTACTGTCCAAATCTAGCTCCTTTCCAGAACCATATTCTGACAGAAGCCAAGCACATATTCAGAACAGTGTTTGATATAAAAGCTTTGGACAGAAAGGTTAGGTCTGTGTGTACATTTTCATTCTATCCTAAAAGTCACTATTCTAACTTGCCCATTTCTTAAATTTGAGAGAAGAATGCAAATCTTGAGAGCTGATTAAAAAACACCTGTGAGGTGACATACTCCCTTCAACACTGACACTAAAATTCGTTTATTCCAGAGATTAAAAGGTCCGCCTCACTAGATTTCCTTTTTCCTTTGTTCTGAAAGGAATTAAGGACCACAGCAGGTTTCCAGCTCTCTCTTCCTGAGGCTATCATAAAGGAGAGATTTTCCCAAGTCCTCAATCACAGCGCTTTCAACATGAAAAGGCAAAGGTCGATGGGAGTTTGGAACCTTGAATACTATAACTGAACACCCCTCTCAAGGGTAACGCAGCTGGGCTCTAAAATAATTAAAAATAAGTTCACTTACTGCGTGTACTACTTTATTTGCTACTGCAAAAGACTAAAATAACTTTATAAAGGATTTAGATCAAGAGGTGTAAAAATTATTAACAAGAGCAAATCATCCCCTGGGGCTACCCTCAAAAACAGAATCCTGGGTTGGATGAACCATGGCAAGGTTCTACTCCACCTGTTAAGAGAAGACTAATTGGGAATGGGGTCAGGCAGAACAGAGAGCTGCAGCAGGGGCAGCCAAATATCACTCTGATGTCAGTCATGGAGAAATCTGTACTGAGGGTCTTTGCAAAATATCGATACTTATTACTTTTAAACTATTTTAAGACTACAGAAAGACTCTGTAGGTATATATTATATTGTAGGTAAAAATTTAAAATTTTCTTTCAGATTCCTTTGGAATGACAACTCTTTTCTGGCTCAAGTATCACATACTCAGTCAAACTACTGCTGATCTATCTTGGTTCCCAGGCCACCCCTAAACCAGGGTAAAATCAGGTCAAAATTAAAAGCTAGAATGCATCACTATCTTTTTTTTTTTTTTTTTTTTAACCAAGCCAGATATAGCTCTTATCCTCTCTGTAATAGAGCTTTGCAACCAATTCCCACAACTGTCCTTGATCACGGGCCCTGTAGGAATGGCAGCTTCGGCATTTCCCTTAAGTCTCACTAAATTCTAAGTTTCAAGACCCACTGAACTGAAGCAATAAGAATTTTTCCTAGCCTGAAGACCACAGCTCAAACCTTTCTTGCAGCAGTGAGATGACTCACTGAAGGAAGTAATGTCACCTAAACTCTGGGTCAGGGACTGACTTCCCACAGATCCTGATTAGGCACCCATACCAGGGATAAGGCCTTCTGCAATCTATTCAGGGCCAACTGATCATACGTACTAAAGCAGCGTGGGGCCAGCAGGCTTCACAGAGCTACATTTCACAAGTTAGGAGTATGTGTGTGCTCCCCAGCAGCCACTTTAAAATATATCCACAAACAGGTAGTGTCTCTACTGGATCTGACCCTCTAAGACCACTTCTAAGTGGTCCCCAGGGCATGCACCTGTCTCCCCTTTAAGCATGGCTCTGTGGAGCTAGCTTGACCCCAGAACCTCATGGTACTCCAAAGAGTAATGCCTGCTACCCTGTGGTGTCTGACCATCTGGTCCAAAACAGAAATATGCTGAGTTTAAGCTTAACGACATTACATCCTGGTACACTTTAACTTGACAAGCTAAGAGAGAGTGCATTTATACAAGACCACAATCACAACATCAAAGGCCCACATAAATCAAGTTACAGGTTTTGTCACTAGACCAAACCAGAGTAATTTTGAAAATTAACTGCTTACAAAACATTAAAAAAAAGAAAAAGAAAAAAAGGAAAATAGTTATTCTGTAGGATACATCAGGTATGACTCCTTTAATCTTGGCCATCATTCAACTTCATCTTGACCTTTAACTCTTTAAGTGCTTGTCAGAAGGACTTGTCATGAGATGCTTGGCCAAATATGACAGATGGCTTTATCTTTAACTTTGAAAAACAACCTTTTCCCCCTTTTGTAGATAAAGCGAGGCTTTGTCTCCCATTAGGCTTGTCCTTCTTCCAGCTTTTCTTTATTTTTTCTTTTCCCAAACTCTCCCTTCTCTTCAAGCCTGATCCTTAAGAGGTCTTTGGCTTGTCTACTTGCCTTAAGTGTTGAACTCTACTCTAAAGGTTCTTTCATGCTTTCTCTTTGGGGTCGCCATAACTGTACAGCTTTACATTCTCTGAGGTAACAACAGAGGACAGCAAATTAGGGGACAATATTAAAGAAGTTTACCTCATTGTTATACAATTTGTTTTTGATCAAGTGATTCAAATTAACAAACAAGAATACCAAACTTTAATTGCTAAGCACAAGAACATATTAACTTTTAATTTGACTTACATTAAAGGTGGTAGCAACCAGACTCTATTCAAATTTAAATCACATATTATAATCATTGATTTGCGTTTCAGCAGCATGAATGGGAATTTTAATATTTTACCATTTTTGGATTAACTTTAAGAAATAGTAAGAGCAATGTGCGAGTCAGAATTAATTTTCAGAAATTTGAAGACATAATACATTAGAGGACAAAAATAAACTACTTTTTAGATGTTACCTCTTACATAAACTTGAATTTCAAACTTCAACACCCCTCACTAATCAGTCATCTGAAGAAAGGATATTGAACATAAGCAAATCCTCTTGGACGGCGAGTGTAGAAATCAAGTGGCACATACACATCAACTATAGGACCATAACGACCAAATTCGCGCCGTAAATCTTCGGACCTAAAACATCATAAAAAGACCCCAAATTTTTATGTTCACTCCCGTAACAGTTTCTTTGTAAGAAACAGGTGTCTTTCTGTAATATTTCAGTTAACGAAAGGGACTGTGCTGTGCCCCTGAAGCAGACAAGTTTTCTAAATCTCAACATTCCAACTATAAGAACATACAAAACCGTACAGGCAGTATATCTTTTTGATAAAGCTAGGATCCAAGATTTTGGAAGGTAAAAAGGCAGTTTATAATAAAATCTACTACTAGTCTACATTAACAACAGAAAAAAAGCAAACATTTAAAGAAACGATCACAATTTATCTCTATTGTTTTTATCCACATCCTCCATTTTTCATAAAAGGTAGAACCATTAGGCTGCATGTATTGCTAATGCCTTTCTTTTACAGTATCAAGTCAACTCTAGTACTCCGAAAAATAAAAAGCACTTATTTTTATCCCAAAATTTTAGCGACAGGGTAGTCACATCTAACTCTGTAAATAATAAATGTCCGAATGACATAAAGGGGAAAATCTTCTCGATACTAAAATAATTAACATGGCTTACTTGCCCACTTAGGACAGAAAAATATAAATCACACAAGGCGACCAAAAGAAATTTTGATTTCTTTTTGGGGGGACAGAGTGATTATTTGTGAAACATAAAAGGTCTCATTTTGTGATGAGATCTCTTCCAAAAAATTCTGACGGCAACTCCAAACAATCAAGGGAACTGGCGAGAACAAAGGCATGGTCTAGATTAATCCAATTTAGGTATCCACGTCTTAATGGCATTAGACTTCCTAAACCCCCCCTTCTCAAAGGGAGACCAGTATTTCCGGGAAATGGGAAGAACTAGTTCGTACCGTTTTACGAGGAGGATCTGATTTCCCAAATCTCAACATTCCCTTTCTCCAAACGTCTCCATTTTAAAAACGACAAATATAACACAACCAAAAAACAGAAGGGGTAGCGACTGCTTCGCCACACTCCCCTCCCCCGATCCTGTTATGTCGCTACAAAGCACATTTCAAAAAAAAAAAAAAGTCCGGGCGAGGGGTCGTGCACCCCAAAGAACGCCAACTCCGAACCGATGGGGCGCGGGTGCCAGGCGGGGGCTGGACAGGCGGGAGGCAGCGGGGGAGGGGGCCCGCCGGCGGAGGGGGAGGGGGCCGACAGCCAGCCACGCGGCCCGCGCTCCCCGCGGCGGACCAGCAGGACCGCGGGCGCCGCCCTCGCCCCACGCGGCGGTTGAGCCGGCGCCGCGGCCTAGTCGGGGCCGGAAACCCGGCGCGGGCCCCGCCATCTTCGCCCCTTCCCCTCCCCCGGCCTAGCGCGCCGCCGCCGCCGCATGGGTCGTCTCCGGGCGCCTGCGGCCTCCCCGCGTAGGCCCGGAGCGCCTTCCCTGTACATACCTCGTGTCGTCGGCCACGTTCCTTACGAACAGAGATGTGTTGGGGGGGCGCAGGTAGCGGGACATGACGGCGGCGGGGGTCTCGACCGGGGCGCTAACGGGCTCCGTAAACTGTCCGCGGCTCGGGCGGCGGATCCTCAGACACACAGCCTGAGAGCTCCGCTACGGCAACCGCCTCTTCTCGCGAGACTTCACTCCCGCCTCCACCCCCTCCTACCTGGGCGCAACGCCGGGACCGGCAACGGTTCTTTCCCGCGAGATCACTGGGCGTGCGGCTGCGCATGCGTGCGACTGGGCTACGTGCCGCAGCCTGGGTCTCATTCATTGGCTTCTGGAGCTGCCTCCTCCCCTCCCCCCAGCCCGCTCTTTCTTTCTTTAGGGCTTTATTTTCCCGCCCTTTTCTGCCTTTGCACTGCGTTACCCCCACCTCTCCCCCCAAGTCAGGAAGCAGATGTTTTAACCTGTAGGCCAAACTTTACAGTTATGAGTAACCGGACGGAGTTTTAAACAATATGATTCGGAGAACCCGCCATAAGATTTTCCTGTCTGGTCCAAATTATGTCCTGGCTTTTATTAGATCGCTGACCAGCAAGAGAAGAATTTAGAGCTTCTCGTATTGAGCGTGAAAGGGAAGGAGGTGTGTGTCCTTGCGGAGAGATGGGTCTGCCTGTCCAGTGCTTTCTTACGCCGCGAGCGCCCTCCCTGCGCGCCTTTGCCAGGGCTGCCCCTCGCCCACACCCTTCTTGGTCTTCTCCTCCACAGATCCACTGTTTCCTCCTGATTCAGGGCCGTTCCCAACCTTTTGGTTGGGCCGCAAACCTCACATGTTAGTCTCCGTTGTCATCTACAGTGTATTCTTCGTTGCTAACGGCTTCCTGGGTACGCATCCTTCTTTATCGCAGTGGTCCTCCACTTTCTGGTCTCAGAACCTCTTTGCACTCTTAGAAATTATGGAAGACCCCAAAGAGCTTTGTTTAAGTGGGTTATAGCTATTAATATTTACTGAACTAGAAGTTAAAATGGAGAAAATTTTGACACAATAACACATAAGCACACATTCCACTACCCTTCATCACATGCCATGTAGCCCCTGGAAGACTCCACTCTACGTTTGTGAGAGGCTGAACGTGAAAAAGGCAAATAATGTCTAGTATAGTTTGGACCTTGGAGACCCCCTTGAAAGGTCCTGGGGACCCCTCCCAGACCACACTTTGAGAATCATTCCCTGCTCTGTCAGACTCAGCTTTTGGAGAGGAGGGACCACCTATTAGAATGCCTCTGGCATTGCCAAACAGATAGCAGGGACTCAAGTACTATTTAATTAAACGAGTTTTTGTTTTATAAAAGGCCATAAAAGTGTTATTTTTGCATCCGTCAGCATCCAAAGCAAGTAAATGATTTGACGTGGGCGGTTACAGCCTATTGTGCTTTGCAGGAGAGCCATTGTTTTTCTACGTTTCCGTTTTCCAAGAAGCTTTGGACACAATTTATTAATTCTCTATTATGTGTCAGACATTGTGCTAGATGCTAGAAATTCAATGATGAGAAACATGGAGCTTATGTTTCCATAGAAAATAAGCAAGTAAACAACTAATTGCAGATTTGTGATATAAAAGAGCCAGCAATGTGATAGGTTTTAAAAAAAATTTTTTAAACAGAGGGTTGCTGAGCAGGTGGCTCCCCGCTCCCCACTCCCAAGTTAAGAACTTTTTAGTGGCTGGAAAACAGACTCCTGTAAATTAAGTAACGGAAGAAATTTACATAGTCTGGTGGTACCCCTGCCACTGTAGTTTAATACAGTAAAGGTTTAGAACAGAATCTAATGCATAGTAAGTGCCCTGTAAATGTTAATAGGACTGGCTACATAATTTGTGGGGCAAAATGGAAATGTTAAAAAATTTAGAAAATTGTTAAGATGACAAGAGCGGATCATTAAGCCAAGTTCAAGGTGGCTCTGAGTGTGGGGCTCTGTGTGACTGCACAGGTGGCATGCCCATGGAGCCTGCCCTGAGTGTTAGCAATTATCATTATTACTCATAACACCTTGGGGAATAATGAGAGCAAGTGAGGTGCAAATATTTACTCACTGGAATTGCTTTCTGCCTTACACACTAAGTGCCCCTTTGATCTTTTGTGATTTAGGATCTCAGAGCCTTGAAAAAGATGATACTGGGAAAAGTAGAGAAAGTAAGCACCTTTCAGCCAGCTGGGGCTTGAGAGAGGCAGTTTACCAAACTATAAATCTGCTGCAGTTGGAGCGGGGGATGGCGAGGGGAGAAGACACACCAAGGAATTTTGAGAGTACAAGGCTCCCTCACAAAAGTGCTACCCAGTGTGGTTAAGAGCATCACATTTCCTTCTGAGCACAATAAATACCAGGCCTGGTAATGTTTTTGAAGGTCAAGTGTTAACCTCTGAAAATGGTCTGTTGGCGCTGCACCTCTTCTGGAAGAAATTATGTTTTCTTGGGATTTGTGTCAGAAAACCACTTTCCTTGGGTCCTGTTCTCAGAACTGCGCAAATAAGACCCAAATGTAAAATATCTAACTGTGAATTGCCTCCATCCTGAAACAGCTGTGTCTCGGTTTGTGAGCGATGGCACAGACATGACGCCTGAGCGAGCCATGCTGCTTGCTGGAGGGAGATTGCGGGCACAAATTCTGCGTGTGAAAGCCGAGGACTTGTGAGCCTGTCTCCGTAATTAGAACTAAAACCTTGAGTCAATACATCAAGATTAATTTTATTAGTGCAACTGTTCAATTCAGATAATTGCTCAGCACTCTGTCTCCACGGGCAAACGATCAGTTCGAAGCGGCTCTTTCATTGTTTCACAGGACACGCCTGGTGTTTCCTATACATCTTCTCATTCTAATGAGTAAGCCACAAGCTGCGTTCCCCAGACTAACGAGGACTCAGTGTTCCCTTTTACACGTTCCTTACTTGTGAGCCAGAAACTTTGGGGCACACACATATAAACACATTATCAATTTACCTATGTACAGGCCCTTCTTTTTTTTTTTTTTTAAAGAAATATCTGTTGTTTTCGGTGAGGAAGATTGGCCCTGAGCTAACATCTGTTGCCAATCTTCCTGTCTTTTTTTCTCCCCAAAGCCCCAGTACAGAGTTGTGTATCCTAGTTGTAAGTCATTCTAGTTCTTCTATGTGGGACACTGTCACAGCATGGCTTGATGAGCAGTGTATAGGTCCGTGTCCAGGATCCAGACTGGCGAACCCTGGGCCGCTGAAGTGGAGCACCAAAACCTAACCACTGGGCCGTGAGGCCTGCCCCTTTACAGGCCCTTCTTTTAACCTCTGGATCCCAATAGTTCTGCTCTGTGGGTGAATTCACGGCTAATGGACACATTTGTTCATCATCTTCCTTAGATGATCTATTCTAGTACATAGGTTACTACTTTGAATCTGTTTAAGGTAAAATCATTTATTATATCTTAGCCTCATTTTAATGTCTTAAAATCACATTTTCCTTAGTTATAAATGTCCTGTGTTTCTTGTTAAATTTTACAAAATAAAGACAACTGTGAAGAAATCAAACATCACCTGTGATTGTACCACTCAGAACTAATTACTATTAAAGCTTTTATGTATTTCTAAGCGTTTATATAGTTGTTAAAATTGGAGTCATACTGTATATACAGTTCTATAGTGTTTTTTTCCCCCACCAAACATTTCATAAAGAATATCTTCCCTGGCCATTAAATAGTTTTACTAAATATTGTTGCTGTTGTTGTTTTTTGAGGAAGATTGGCCCTGAGCTAACATCTATTGCCAATCTTCCTCTTTTTGCTTAAGGAAGACTGTCGCTGAGCCAACATCTGTGCCACTCTTCCTCTGTTTTATGTGGGACGCCTCCACTGTGTGGTTTGACGAGCAGTGTTAGGTCCGCACCCAGGATCCAAACCTGTGAACCCCAGGCTACCAAAGTGGAGTGTGTGAACTTAACAACTACACCACCAGGCCGGGCCCGTAAATATAGTTTTTAATAACTGCTGTATCAATGATAAATTGAGTTCAATGGCCAGTAACAAAAACTTGAAATAATAATAATTTTTATCATGATAGCTAACACTTATTGAGCACTTGAATGCCAGTCACTTATCTCACAAAGGAGCAAAGGAAACAGCTCAAGAAGTCATAGCATGTTACAGCTTTAGAGGTCATCCTGCTCAAGGTTTTTAGTTACTTTTTTTTAAAGTCACATGTGTTAACTCATTTAATCCTCACACCAAACCTATGAGCTAGGTTACTATTATTCTTTCCATTTTATAAATGAAGAAACAGTTTGTTCCTAAACAAATTAGGAGTTTCACTTATTTATTTTTTGCGTAACGAGAAGTCAGGAATAGGGAGTCCAGGATTGGTGTGGCAGCTTCAGAATATCCAGGCTCTTCCTTCTTTCTCTCTTCTCCATTGTCCCCAGTACTGGCTTCTATATTCAACTTGCCTCATGGTCACAAGATGGCTCCCGGAGCTGTAGGCATCATGTCAACATCCCAGGAAAAAAGAAAAAGTAGGACAAAATTTGAAAGGCATATGCCGGCTGAGTGGACACCCGCCCACAGCACCCTGGGAAGTTTTGTTAAACCCAATCCAACAACTCTCGCTTATAGTAAATTGGCCAGAACTGAGTCTCATAGCCAACTCTGTCATCAAGGGAGGCTAACAACTGCTACTCTCAATAAGATCAGAGTTCTGTTTGTAAGGAAGAAGAGGGGAAGGAAGGATTTTGTGGATATATTAAAAGGGTACATTTCATATGGTTGTAGCATAATTGATTTATGTAGAAATGGTGATGATGATGATAATAAAGGCTAACATTGAATAAGAATGAACTATATGCTAGATAATCATTTTATCTGTATTATCTCATTTAATCTTCACTAGTATGAGGTAGGCAGTATAACCCTCCCCATTATACAGATGAAGAAACTGAAACATTGAGACACTATAGGGCTTTCTGACAATAAATAAGGCTTACGGGCTAAAAGATAATTTAAGACAGTTCCTGTGTTTTCAAAGCGTTCTAAAGCCAGCAAAGTAGGCTGTATTTATAAAACTGAATTTTTGGTTGGTTTTACCTAGTTTATAATTCACTTGTCCTAATTTTAATCAGATTTCTTTTAGATCAGCCAAGATGCCCGTCAATTACTATCCAATCCCATAGAATAACAATGGGCCAA